TGCAATTATTTTACCCCCTGCATTTATAAAAAGCGAAAAACGTTATTGTGGCTATAAGTAATGCTTTTTGCATTAAAATAATTACAAATTCCTTAAACGCGTGTTTTTTTAGGTGTAGAATGCGGCGCGGGCATGTTGTTTGGCTTTGGTGCTGGTGCAATTGTGTTGGGAGAGGTAGAGTTTAGGTGGGGGAAAAAATTTGCGGTCCAGACTTTTTTGGTCAGGGCGTGGGGCACTACATATGTACCTATCCGGGTGTAGATGCCTACCGTAGCTACTGTCTGATTAATCGCTGGATCCAAAAACCATGTGCACGGTGCTTTTTGCGACCCTGTCCGTCTTCAAGCGCTTGAATCTACCTAGATAAATAGGGTGATTAACTACAAGTTTAAAACGTTCCTACCCAAACAAACTACTAGGTACCTAAGATTGCGCCGCCGTTGCTATGAATGTCGACCAACAAATGTCCCTGCGCGGATAACCCAGACGACCTACTCCGTGCGCCAAAGCAAACAAAGCTACCCGTGGTGTACGTACTACTACAGCTTTCGGTGATGAGCCCCGTCAGAATCAGAAAGCCTCTTTGTGCAGAGTTTGATCCGAGGCAGGGCATCAACAAAAAAGGGTGGAGATGAGAAGCAAAAAGAGAGCATGCGGGGTAGAGGCACGTCCAGAACGACCTCCCAGGCACATGCCCTTTACAATGCGTGCCCTAGAACTTCTTCTTCTCGGCTGTGGGAACCTTCATGAACCTGTCGTAGTACTTGTCCATCCACCTGGCCGCATGCTCGCCCGAGTCGTCCACGCTCGAGTCCCAGCGCCCGACGGAGCCGACGTAGCCGTCTGGCCGAACGTTGAGGATGGCTACCTCGCCGGGATCGAGGCTGCCGAGCCACTTGTTGGTGCAGAGAGATCCTCGCGTGTCCAGCTCCGGAACGTTGTCCAGGTAGAAAGTCCACCTGCTGTCCTGCAGCAGGAGCGGCAGGTCCGAAATCTCAATGTCGGTCTTGGGCATGGTCGCTGAAAAGAGGTGCGGAGGATCAGGGTTAATCATCTCGAAGCCCCAAGTGAGAAGAGGGGAAGAAACTTACTGATGAGGCCAAAAGTGAAAAGATGGCTGACGGCCGTATACCTCTCAGGCCGCAGATAAATGTCCTCGGGCGAGGGCAGCCTCGGCTGCTGCGCATACGAGGCACTGGCGGCGGCAGATAGTTGACTGACCAGCGACTCTCGCCTCGATATGGCGTCAAAGAAGGTGTCGAGGAAGGGACGCGATTGATGCACGTCCCACATCAGCAAGTAGATGCGGAACTGGCCCAGCATCGGAATGTCGAGCTGCACGTCCACCGGGTTCGAGTCGATATAGCGCGTGACCTTGGCGGGTGGCAGCAGGCAGCCTGGCTTGGCCTCGCCCATGACCCAGTTTTGGCCTTCGTCGTGCATGTTTAGGGCGTTCTCGCTGTACTCGGCCCCAACGCCCGAGATGAAGCGGACGTTAGTCTTGAAGTTCTCGGCGAGCGCGACGGCGTCGCCGCCGGCGATCTGGTTTGCGTGTTCGTAGTCAAAATTGACGAGATCCAGCGCGATCTTGCGCCTCTCGTTCTCGTAACTCTCCATCAGAACCGGCTTGGCCAAGCCCCTAACAGCGAGGTTGAACTTCCAAGCCAAGTTCCACGAGTCGTGCATCGACGTGTTCATGCCCTGCGCCGCCTTTGGCGAATGCGTGTGACTGGCATCTCCAGCCAGGAAGGCCCGGCCGTGCGCGTCGCCGAACCGCGTGGCAACGCGCTGTCCAATCTGGTACCGGCCGAACCACTCGATGTACTTCCAGCCCACCTCAAACGGAGCCATGATCTCCCGAGCCCTCTGCATTACGAATTCCTGCCCCAGCTCGCGCCTGTCGTTTTTGGGCGAGCTCTTGAGCTCAATGTAGAAACGCGTCATGTTGCGCTCTCGCGGGATGATGAGGATGGAGCCGTGCTCCTGGGAATACACTAGCGTTTTCGACCAGATATCCGGGAAGTTGGTCTGCAGTTCGCCATCGAGAACACCCCATACCGCCGGCTGAGATAGCCCAACAGGCCTCGCGTCTGGTATGCTCTTGCGCACCTTGGAATGTGCGCCATCGCCTGCACACGGTTTCTTTGTCAGTGTCCATGCGCAACTAGTATCACCCACCACCTCTCATGGCATAGGAATCGCCGATACTGGCAGGGGAGGTGGGAACACTTACATCCTACAAGGTACGATGTGAGGATGGTCTTTCGGTCCTGCGTTACGTTTGCGCGGCAGTTCACCTGCAGCGGGCCGTTGCTGCTGTCGCAGGCGCTGTACGACTCGAAGGCTGTGTTTCTGCGGACCTCGACGCCGCGCTTCTTGAGGTCTTCTATGAACAGACTCTCAACCATTCCCTGATGCACGAGCAGGATGTAGGGATCCAGGACGTCGATGATGGGCGGGTAGTGGACTTCACGGCCGAGCCGGTGGAGCGGCTCGTCTGCGGTGCTGCGCCAGAATGCGATGTCGTAGACCTTGACGCCTCTCTGCAGCAAAGGGTCGGCTAGCCTCATCTGTCGGAAGGTCTCGAGGGTCTTGGGCTGCAGTCCGTCGGCTCTGTTTCACATGCGTCAGCCATTGTCTGTCCAGGCTCAGCGCCGAGCGCCGGCCCCCC